TGAAAATATATGCTCACCAGTGTAAGATAGGAAAATAATAATAATGTATCATTTATCAGGAGTCCATGAGGGTAGGGGGGAGGGGAAAAATAGAAACTGATACCAAGGGCACAAGTAGAAAGAAAATGTTTTTTAAATGATGATAGCAACATATGTACAAATGTGTTTGATACAATTTATGTATGGATTGTTATAAGAGCTGTAAGAACCCCCAATAAAATGATTTATTAATAAAAAATTTTTAAAGATATATGCTCACACAAAGATATGCACAAAAGTATTCCTAGCAACCTTATTTTGGATACCGTAAGTTAAAAATGGAAGGGAAGAGCAGATTCACACCAATTGGTGAGTGAATAAATAAGTTGGAGTACAGACATTCAATGGAATACCACTCTGTAGTAATCACTGCAAGCAGCTTTTCCCAACAATACAAGTGATAATTTATATATATGGGCATGGCCAGAGGGAGTACCATGTCATGGGTAGACTTGTACCTACACAAAGAATGTGCTAAAGTGTCTCGGTTGGTCATGACTTTCAGTGATTTAGCAGGAAAATAGTGTGGCAGTTATGTGATATACTTCAAGATGTAATCTGATGTGATCGTCCAGGAAGAATGCTGGCCAGCGATGCCTTTTCTATTGCAAGAGATAAGAGGAGGGAGAACTGAGCAGGGAGGGAGGAATCTGCTACCACTCAGGAAGAAGAGCCAGGAACAGAGTCCATCCTTCGGTGTCCAAAGTGCCTGAGCCCTAAACTGTGAACCCCCTCGATTCTGGAATCCTGAACCAGAGTCAGATTGATGCCAACATGCATGGGGATCTCTAAGGGCTCACAGATGTTTCAAGGAGAAAAAGACTGCCCCACAGCCAAAAGTGAAGGAATGCCTTCCTCCAAATACAGCACTTGGGATTGTAAGCTCCTACATTTGAAAGAACAAATATGTTTGTTAAAGCCTTCTATTTGTTGCCTTTCTGTTCTAAAAGCACTAGATAACTAAGGAATCAAATCAAATATATACAGGAGAGGGAGAGAGAGAATGGAATAGCTCAATATCATCAGTCAGAGGAAGGCTAAGGGCCAACCGCAGAAAGCACTATTAATTGCTTGCACTCAAGTTAAAGATGAAGTAAATTAAAGCAAAACCTTAAGAGCCAAAGTACAGTCTTGAAAATATTCCATCTCAAGAGTAGATGTGATGTACTAAACTCAGATGAGCTGTGGGATGACACCAAGAACATTATACATGAAGAAAGCAAAAGGTCTTTTAAGCGACAGTAAAGACTAAAATAGATGCCAGGAGAGATTCTGAAAACTTGCTCTTGAATGTAAAGTAGCTAAAGCAAAATTAAGACATGAGG